TAGAATCACGCGGGAACCGCTACTAGCGATTCCAGCCTTGTCTCATGGAAGAATGAAGAAAGACTCGCTACTAACCTTAAGACGTCGCCTCATGTGGCTACAACACTTCCTTGCCCGCCGTAACAGAGGGGTCACAGGTCACTTGCCACGCACCTGTGTCGCTCAACTACTCGTAAGGTCGCCAACTGGGTTTGTAACTCTGCATCCCAGCAGTGCAGTTCAGTGGTTAAACTCGGTGTCGCCAGACAATGATATATTACCACTATTACAGTGTTGAATCAGTATTGCCAGCCTTGGGTTCGTTTCCATAAACATCAGTGTTAATCAAATACTGACAGTCATTAGGATATTTTCCATATAAAATAATACTGATCATATTGTGGTGCAATAGTATCACTTAATACTGTTCAAAGAGAGATGGAGGGCGCACATAAACATGTCAGTAAAATAGTACAAAGTTTACTATGTGAAAACTACATTAATCATATAAGGAATAACACATTAGGTGAGTACATGAGAAAATATATGAAATAGATCTGGAGAACGTTGGCAGCTCTCCTCTCGCCGCCGCTGGCAATTCGGACAGCTGGGCAGATGAGGGACTCGCGGCACTCTCGACGCAGGGTGCAGCCGCACCTCCACAGATCTCCAGTATCGGCTCTTGATACTGGTAATGGCTCAAAAAGGCCACCACTTACGGGCTATTCATGCCCGTGCCACCTTTTGGGTGGCTTAATCTTTATCAATCATCAAACCTCTGGAGGAGGGGATGGGAGGGCGGCTTCGTCGTCGTCGTCCACCAACTGACACGTTCGTTCTCACGCTGTCCTCTCCAGATAGTAGAAATGCTGGCTGACCTACAGCTTAATCTAATGCTAACATAATAAGAATTACACTGTAATATATATATGATGGGCCTACCTAGCCTAGTCATCAAGAGGCAATGGGAGGAAAATATGATCTACCTTAATCACTCTTGTCCCCGACGCCCGTCCTCCGATGGTAGAAGGTACACAGTTCCCAGGTCCTCAGTATTCCTGTTGCATGTCACAGGTCCTCAGGTGTCTTGGAGAAATCGCGTCTTCGCTGTACCTATCCTCTGGGTTCAGGTTTTCCAAGCTGGTCCAGCCAGTGGTCACTGAGCATGTCACCGTACACACTCGCTCCTCCAACGAGATGTTTTCTCTTGACTCCGGATGCAGTGTCTTCCCTCCAAAACCTCAGTAGATATGACCCAGTAACTTCAGCACTGCACTTCGTACCAGAGCAGACTTGCCCTCCCAGAGTCGCCGCTCACCTTCCGTCGCTGACTCAATAGTCACTAGTTCTTGGCACCTCTTTGCCCACTGAACTTGGCTTCTTAGTGCTCCCCAGGAGCACACTGTCTTCTGCGACACTGGTAGACTGTGATGGCTGCTCAAATCCACTGAGCAAGGCTTCCAGAACTCCAATCTCTGGAGCTCCCTGACGCACTTCCGCTCACGTCGAAGGTCTGTGTAGCTCTGCTGCAGCGCCACCACCGGCGCTGGGCCCAGGCCTCCCTGTACAAGGGGGTGTAACCCCCCTCACCTGCAAAACTTATAAATGATAATTTCTCCATAACTATGTGATCTATCCAGTAGCCTCATACATCAAATGATTCCCTGCATCTCAGGGAACCTGGAAGGAAAGTGGACATGACGCTTAACACTGGCATTGGGGAGAAATAGGAGAGGACGCCGTAACACTGAGTACCTGGAATTTAGCACTGTTAAATATCGTGATATTTTCTGCTGCCCAGTCGAAAACTTTATTAATATCTGCAAAGGAACAGGTCTCAGACTTCATACGCTTCACCCCGTCACTTGTTTTATTCCTTGTGTGTGATTTTTATTACATAGAACAATTTTCCATTGAATGTAAGTTCCCTGTTTATTTTTTTCCCAGTCAATCATTTTATTATTTAAACTGAATTTACAGAATAACCTCCTCTTGTTTGATCATTGTTTTAGGTCTATTATGAGTATTGATGTTAGTTTGCACTTCAGTGAGCTTGTGATCCGAGTATGTGGTATCTTGAGATCATAATGTCATTGAATATGTTTTCATTGTTTGTGAAGACCACATCTAGATAATGTTCGTTCCTAGTTAGCTCTGTTATCTGCTGGTTGAGAGGAAATTTGTCACAGAATCTAAGTAGTTCTTTAATCTGTGGTTGGTTATGTCCAGATATAATAGATATTTCCAGATATAATACTATTGTCTGCTATTCTCCATCTTAGACTAGGTAGGTTGAAGTCACCTAGGAAGATAATATCAGGTATTGGGTTTGCCAAATTATTGAGGCTATTCTCTATTTTGTTTATCTGTTCTGTGAATTCCTCAGCCGTTGCATCTGGCGGTTTGTATGTTAGAATAAGTTTATTAGTTTGCATTTAAACATTTAAGTATTTGCTTAAGAATTATCAGAAACCCCAGGCCCCAGTACTTTCCTGGCTATGCGCTGGGAAACCCTGGTCTAGACTTCATATAGATTATGCTGGACCTATGGATAATAAATATTGCCTGGTGATCGTGGATTCATACACGGATTTACGGATTTTCATGTGTAAGTAATTCCACGATATCAGCTGTAACATGTGAATTGCCCAGGAAAACATTTTGTGATTTTGGATTGTCAGACATGGTGGTGTCAGATAATGCCCCTTATTTGGTTTCTGGAGAAATGGATTATTTTTTGAAAAGAATGGTATTAAACATATAATACTTGCCCCTATAATCTTTCTTCAAATGGTCTGGCTGAGAGAGTGGTGCGATCCTTAAAAGAAGGGTTACAGCGGTTTACGGAGGGGACTAATACAAGGCTTTGTAGATTTTTGTATAATCAAAGAAAAACTGTTAGTCTACCACAAGGAAATCTCCCTCTGAATTACTGTTTAACAGGCACTTCAAAGAGAACATGGAAGCAGTAAAGACAGATCCAGATAAAGAAAAATTTGTTACTATCTTGGCCAATCAGTTGCCTCAGGGAAAGGAAGCTTTGTTTAAAGAGGGAGAAGCAGGATATGCAAGGAATTTTGGAATGGGTAAGCCTTGGGTAGAAGGGAAAATTACTGAAGTCCTGGGCCGCAGGAATTTCACCGTGCAAGTGCAGAGTTTTGGGAATATTAATTGGAAAAGACATGCAGCTCAACTCATGCCAAAGTTCACAGGGAATTTTGAAGTCTCCTCAGGCGAAAGGGGTGGGGGGGAAGGAAGGGGATTGTCAGGGGGGAAAGCGTCAAGTCATTACGACTATATAGCACTGGGAACGGGTCAGAATAAGGATTTGAGATAGGTTGCAGGGAAGGAATATTGCCCAACCACTTGGACGGTCTGGAATTGAACGCCGACCTACATAGAGCGAGACCGTCGCTCTACCGTCCAGCCCAAGTAGTTGGAGATGGGGCAACTTTGCCCCATCTCCAACTACTTGGGCTGGACGGTAGAGCGACGGTCTCGCTTTATGTAGGTCGGCGTTCAATTCCAGATACCTAACTTAATAATGAAGGGGTAGCAGCACCTGCAGTAGTCAGGGAGGCAGGATAGGGGTCAACAGAGGGGAATGTGGATACTGTACAGCTAACCCTATGAACTCTGCAGTTAGTAATTCAGAAGAAGGTTCCCTAGAAGTAACAGGCCTAGAGCCCCACTTGAGAAAATTAGGAAGTCATACAACTGCCTGATAGACTTAACCTGAAGGGATAGAGTTTAATTTAAAGGGGAGGAATATTAGGATTAAAATATGTTATAGGATTAAGGTCACTTAAGATTAGGTTCGTAATGTTAAGATCCGATGCTCATTTGTGTATAAGGTATATAATGTTTATATTCACGAAGACCAAACCACACACAAGATGAAGAGATGACAACGTTTTGATCTGTCCTGGACTATTATCAAGTATATTGTGATGGGTGTGAGGTTGTTTTAGATTCAGCTACTGGGAACAAAGAGAGTTCCAAGCCGCACCGACTATGGTGAGCTCGTCGTACTCACCTGACACAAGAGATGTGCGTCCAGGAGCGAGGTGGTTGTTGTTTAAGATTCAGCTACTGGGAACAAAAATTTCGAAGTAGCACGGGCTATGGTGAGCCAGTAAGCTCATCATAGGGAGCGAGGGAGGTATGGGCATTAAGGTAAGAGTGAGGTGAAGAGCAGGTAAGAGGAGAAGGTAATTCCCAGAAGAAGGTAAGAGTAAGACAAAAGGTATGAAAAGGAAGAAAGGTACGAATGGGATGGGTGTAATAATGGGGTGAAGAAAGCATGGGATAGGTAAGAATAAGAGGAGAAAAAAAGGAGGGGTAGTCTTGCGAGGTCACGTTTGTTAGGAAGGTTAGTGCATTTGAGTATGTACTGTGATAGGGAAGAGTCAACAGCAACAAAGCCAGGACTAAGGTTCATGGCTTTGTTGCCTTTGACTCAACATCAGGATGCAAGAATATGAGGGCAAGCACAGGTCTCCATACACACAGCCAACATGTCGGAACTTATTTTGTTTGTGCACTGTTAGAGCAGGCAGGAGAGGGCGCCACCTGCCTCCCACCCTCGGCCGGCACACACAAGCCCTCACTTTGTCACGGCGCCATCCTCCGAAGGGAATCCTCCGAAGGGAAATGGGGAAAGTTAAATGAACAAATTAGTGTTTCACATTTTTTAAAATATTTTCTATGCACACAAAATCATTGTTAAAATATTATTTATGTGTAAATATGCTGATAAGAGGGCTGGGACCACTTCACTTTTTCTTTTTGTAGATTGTGTTAATTTTCAATCACATTATTGTGACAGTCCCTGCACATATACTATATCATTTTCTATAAGAAAAATTCAAAACAAATTGTAATAAATAGCTAAAAAAAAGTTTTTGTTTGACAAAATATCTGATTTTATGTAAATCCGAAGCGATAGAATTCGGGTCTTTGAGGAAACACTGCAAATATCTTCAGTACATCTTACCAATTGGATGCAATAAAACTAAAAATTACCTTCATTCAATTACATTAATCAAAGGTTAAACCCTTCAAAACTGTGAAGACATAGCACCATCCAAAAAGGTATACCTGTAACCTAGTATCAAGCAGTCATTCAGGTTCTGTACTTGTTATGTTAAGGACTGCAAAGATTAGGTCTCTGGTCCCACAGACACACACTAATCAACCAGCACTCTCGCCCAACATCTCATTATTTTACAGAATTGACCAAACCGTTAAAAATGTGAAGCATTAGTAAAAATCAAAGGACCGGAATATTGACGTCTATTTTGCATCGGCATTAATAGGTCAGAGGTTGCTTGGGTTTGTATCTTTCTAGTTAACATATCTAGTATCTTTCTTTTTAACAGAACGAAAGATACAGTTCTACTTAGGTTAGTCGCATTTTTTACGGTGTGGTAAATTAAGAGAATGGGCTGTACTAATACCCTGATGTTCCAGCAACTGGAGAAGGCATTAGTTTACACATATCAAAGTTCCTCACACTAGGGTTTACATAAGACAGGTTGCACTGTTGGCTTAGTATGCAAAAAAAAAAAAATACAAATAAACAAAAGCTGCATTTGTTAATATAGCCTAAGCACAACTAAAGTAAAAAATGCTAATGATAAAAATGACAATAAACGATAATTTGTGTTGCCAACAACGCACCGCTGCCAGCTGGGAGTACATCACCACCACATCTCAAACACACAAAGAAAATCAACATCTAGAATTATTATATTAACGTAGTATCCCAAGGGACAAAACGCGAGTTTGTAACATTTAATCGACGTTTTTATCATCGATTCATTGTTATTTGGCCAGAGGGTTCGTGGATGTTTATACGTCCTTCCACGACTGTCAAAACCAAACTTTAATATATAAATAAATTACATAAATTTGAAAAGACAGCCTAAAGGATTTTAACAGTGACAGGACACAAGAAATTAAAGGGGAATACAGTACTAATTTTTCATAATTATTCACTATGAATAAAGACATTACTATTTATCAATGTATTACTGTGCAAAAAACTTACACACTTGGCATATATATATACACTATAAAATTAAAAAGTTTTTATAATTATAAAAAATTTGACTAATCTGTGCATGAGTTTCACCAATGCTACAGTAATGATAATTTAAAAATATTTTTACAAACTTTATTTTCAGTTATATATTCAATACTTATTCTAATGCACAATATTTCATAATTGTTCATGTTTTGTGGCAGTAAATGTCGTTGTTTAGTTTTCACATTAATCTGTTATGTTCAAAATGTAACCCTTGCACTCCTGATCACTATATACGAATCATCCTTATGGATTTCTATACTTTCTCCACGTGCACCTGGATGTAGGACTTGAAAATAACTTAAACATTTAAGGGTTAAAGCAGAGAAAATAATGAGCCAGCATCGTGATTTGGCTTTCATCTTATAACAAGTAAAGGCACAGAGAAGCTCAATCATAGCTCTCTTCAGTCTTATAGCCTCTTCTCCCGCTTGATAGGCATGGAGAGGTCTGTCGGAGCAGCTTGACTGCTGCTGCTGCTGCTGCTGCTGATGCTGGCTGCTGATACTGCAGCAGCCACAGCAGACTGCTGCAAGGCCGCTGAGGTTAAGGCCATCGGGAGAGTGACAAGAGGGGAGGAGCCACTCCCGTCTGCGAAGAGAATGGAATGTAATATACTGTACTTTATTTACACATTATAATACAAAATTGGATATTAAATATCTACATAATCTAAATAGACCCCCTAGTCAGCTTATAATACAATGTATATTTACCATACTCGGCTGGTATAGTAAGCCTTGCTCACGTGTACAAAAATGGGGCGCATCCGATCCCTTGATCGTCGTCGCCCCTAAATCAACACAACTTGTAAAAACAATACTTTTCGATAATTTTAATATAAGGTTTTTAAGCTATATAAATCCGTTTATGAAGATAGATAATATATAGTAGGTACAGAATCGTAACACTATCAATTAAATTTATATATTTTATATATATATTATATATTAATCTGTGGACATTAAGTTCTCGGTAGCTAAATCTAAAATAACAACTACAACGTAATTTCTTATCACTTGAGAATGAAACAATGTAGGTTCGAAACGTTGTGCAATTGTATAATAAGTGTTATACATTCTATAGTTATTTACCTTATTCTTCACCTCGAAAAACGAACATGACTTTTGGAGAACTCTTCTTCCAACTAAACCCTGATGCAAGAACACTAGTTAGAGGGATAGAAGCCCTAAACCAGAAGATAGTTAATACAGAATATGCTGTCATATTCTATGAGACATGTATAAAAGAAAACCCGCTGTTATATTGTGTGTGTGTGAACAAGCTTGAATGGTCCCCAAGCATATATGCAAATGAAAACTCCACACCCCAGAAGTGACTCGAACCCGGACCTCCAGGAGCACATTGCAACTGGTGTCACAGTGCCTTAATCCACTCGACCATCAGTGACCGCATTGTGCGGTCACGCACAAAATTATTATCGAGAATGGGGGAATCCGTGACGTCGTCAGACCATATATATTTAAGCATCACGTATCTTTAAGCTACCAGTTTAGGCATTAGAATTAATAGAAAAGAGTTTTCTATGCTTTAACTTGATGAAATAAACCATACAATTAAAGGCTTCATTCTATTGTCAATAAGTCAGAAATAGAACCATAATGTTGGGGACGCCGTGGAAGAGGTCCGGGCCACAGGGACTGAATGTAAACAGAAGCTTCGTGTGAGGTGTTAGCCACACACAACACTTCAAAGGTCGGCAATATAGATCACCCAACAGTGACATTACCACAGCGACTTCATCATCAATAAAGGGAAGGCAATATATCCGTACAGTATACTAAATGATTTTTAGAGTTCTTATATCATTGTGTAAATTTACTGATACGGTTATGTAGCCTGATCACCCCACCTCAAAGGTAAGCCTAGTTTAATAAATTAGCCAAACCACTTGGGCTGGACGGTAGAGCGACAGTCTCGCTTTATGCAGGTCGGCGTTCAATCCCCAACCGTCCACCAAGTGGTTGGGCACCATTCCTTTACCCCGTTCCATCCCAAATCCTTATCCTGACCCCTTCCCAGTGCTACACAGTCGCAATGGCTTGGCACTTTCTCCTGGTAATTCCCTTCCTTTCTTTGTTATATAACACATTTGTGGAAACAGTTTAATACTTTGTAGTAATTCCTCAGGTGTGGTTCAAGGGAGAGAAATCACAGAGAGCTGTTGACACCTACATGATCCTGTACAGACGCCACCCTTGCTCTAACAAGGACCAAAAGCTGTCATTAACCAAGAGCCAGGATGGACCACGCATGATACTACGGGCTCACCATAGCCCATGCTACTTGGAACTTTCTGTTCCAGGTAGCGCATCTTGAACTTGGCACACCAAAGTCTGATGATATACCATCTCTCACACAACCAAACAGCTGAGACCAATTTAACCACTTAACTAATCGACCTTTGCAGTAATACTAACACATTTAATTAACAGTACAGCATTATTCAGTAATTTATTATAATTATCATTTATTGATTAATAAGCTATGTATATAACCCCCCCTCCCCCCCCACTCTTATGAACAAGTAAACACCTCTCAGGATAAACTTGAAATACACTCCACTTTGAAGTAATACAATAATAATATAAAGTAAATTCAATATATCAAAAATTTAAATTTAAATAAATTAAAATTAAGTTCAATATAACAAATTAAAAACAATTAAATGCCTGCTGGGAAATACCCTATATAATTACACATAATTAAAGATGGGATAATTAGTATGGAGAATTTTTTATCTTCCACTCTTTCTCACCATTCTCTAATTCTCATGTGCTCCTCCTCAGTCCCTGGTGATAGGCAGCTAAGGGGTCAGGAGGCTGACCCCTTCACTACATAACCAGGAGGTATTTCATCTCCTCCTCATAATACATGCTGAGTGGCAGGTTTTGCTTACCATTAAATAAGATGTAGTTTGATAAAACAAGGCAACCTCATGTCAAACAGCTGTAATTGAAAATTCCTATAGAACACTGAATGGGATGTCTTGTTTGAAACCATAATGAACTTAGATAAGACGCACTTTGGGTGAGCAGATGTTCAACAAGTAGCCGACTGTTACAAGTCGCTAATTACAAGCTGTCAGTTTGTAATTGGAACAAGCTGCAAGCTTGCACTACCCTGCCATTTCCAGTATATATGTACCCCCCCCCCCCCTAGGCATGATAATACTCTGCCTACTCCCCCCCTCACCCCATGGGTATCTTGACCCGTATTTGATTCAATTCTATATGATTCAGTGTAACTTAGTTGTGACCAGAAGCAGGTCAGTGACCAGCCAGCTAGGATAGAGGGGGCGGGGTGTCTGGCGAGCGACAAGCTGTGGTCGAAGGTAATGTGTCATATTTCTGATGTTATTGTCTATGTATAAATTACTTACCATTGTCAGCAGTAGGGTAGGAGTAGCTTAGGAGTTCTTGGTGAATATCGTAATAATTTATTTAATGAAATCTTGTTAAATTCCATCTTTGTGTGTGTCTGGCTTCCCCCCATTGTCATCTCTGGTCATCAAGGACGGTCAACCTCCTAAATTCTCCAGCATTAAATTTTTTAAGATAACCATGGCTTATTGCTAATACCAAAATGATAGAACATTTTTGGTCTTAGTACTAATGATCAAATACCAGAAAGTCTTCACACGAGTCGTTTAAGTTTCTATCCCATCTTTAATTTATACATAACGGAATCTACATCAGGCTTAAATTCTCATAAAAAGGTCATGGTGGTTTCCTCCCTGGTGAGTGGGTTGTGTCCCCAGGTGGTCAATATTCTCCCTGGTGAGTGGGTTGTGTCCCGACGTGGTCAATATTCTCCTCCCAGGTGAGTGGGATGTGTCCCCAGGCGGTCAATATTCTCCTACCAGGTGAGTGGGTTGTGTCCCCAGGTGGTCAATATTCTCCTCCCAGGTGAGTGGGTTGTGTCCCCAGGCGGTCAATATTCTCCTCCCAGGTGAGTGGGTTGTGTCCCCAGGTGGTCAATATTCTCCTCCCAGGTGAGTGGGTTGTGTCCCCAGGTGGTCAATATTCTCCTCCCAGGTGAGTGGGTTGTGTCCCCAGGCGGTCAATATTCTCCTCCCAGGTGAGTGGGTTGTGTCCCCAGGTGGTCAATATTCTCCTCCCAGGTGAGTGGGTTGTGTCCCCAGGCGGTCAATATTCTCCTCCCAGGTGAGTGGGTTGTGTCCCCAGGCGGTCAATATTCTCCTCCCAGGTGAGTGGGATGTGTACTCGTGAAAGGTTACAAAGGAACTGATCCCAATATTCGTTTATACTCCACAACACTATACACCACAACACTATACTCCAAGACAATATACTCCACGATACTATACTCAGGACACTATACTCTATACTTCTTGTTTGATGAACTGTTCACTTGAGACAGTTAAAATAAGCACACGTCAATATATAAGACAACAAAAAGTTTTAAGAATGTTTCACACACATTAGTGAAGCAACATTTACAATTTATATAAATTATTTTAGGGAATAATACGTAAATTTTATATTTAAACATGATATTAGTGTTTAGTGTAATACATAAGGAGTCAAAATGTGTTAAGAGAGCGATTTTTAGCAAAATTATGAAAACTAATTTTATCTGATCATAGAATAACTAAATGTATTTTGAATGTTTCATACAGCCATTAAATATCATTCTCATTTTATTAATGAATTTTACAAAAAAAGACCATAAATTTTATATTTAAACATGTAAAAGCTATTTGTAATACATTAGGAACAAAATAGTTTTAGAAAAACCATAAATATTAAAAGATATATGTTTGAAATTTTGGAGTAAAAGTTTCTCAAATTCTCTCCTGCACCATTCTGAAGACAAGTTATTCCTACACCTAAGGGAAAACTAAAATTAAAATTTTCAAAACGTTTTGTGTTTGCTGGGTAACAACTCATTGTGGGGAATAAAAGACTTATGATGTAAAATGAACAAACTTTTACACACAAAATGTTGGAGTGGTTGCTGATGTGCGCAAGTAGATAAGGGGAGAGAATGAGAGGAAAAAGAAGACTGAAGTTGGAGGCACGTTACTTTGATCATGGGCCACTTGTAATCCATGAGGGAGGTTGAGGAGGAGGGGCGTGGCTCGGTCGGTGTGGGGGGCGGCGTACACCACGCCCCCGCTGGCCGCATACATCACCGACCCCCCACTGCCCCCCATCACTACGCTACCACCTGAAACCATACACTAATATATACACTGTACAAACATCTATGGTTTTCAAAGTTCATCCAATTGCATGAAACAAACATTAAAACAATAAATATTTTATATAAATGATACGAGGACACACTAACATGCCTGTAGTTTAAATAGGGAGGATTAGAATGGGTAAAGGGTGAAGGTTACAGCTACTGAGGCCATAGTTACACTGTGGGAGTGTTCAACTCTGGCTCACCTGAGAACACTGTCGAGGTCTTGGTGGAGGTGGGCTGACAGGTGATGAGGGCGGTGGGCGGCCGACCTGTGGGCGGGTCCTCTCTTAGTCATTACACGCACAACTTATGCTACACTACAGTATAGGGCACTACACTACACTATACACTGCTACACTACAGTATAGGGCACTACACTATACACTGCTACACTACAGTATAGGGCACTACACTATACACTGCTACACTACAGTATAGGGCACTACACTATACACTGCTACACTACAGTATAGGGCACTACACTATACACTGCTACACTACAGTATAGAGCACTACACTACACTATACACTGCTACACTACAGTATAGGGCACTACACTATACTATACACTGCTACACTACAGTATAGGGCACCACTACACTACAGTATAGGGCACCACTACACTACAGTATAGGGCACCACTACACTACAGTATAGGGCACCACTACACTACAGTATAGGGCACTACACTACAGTATAGGGCACTACACTACAGTATAGGGCACTACACTACAGTATAGGGCACTACACTACAGTATAGGGCACTACACTACAGTATAGGGCACTACACTACAGGGCACTACACTACAGTATAGGGCACCACTACACTACAGTATAGGGCACTACACTACAGTATAGGGCACCACACTACAGTATAGGGTACCACTACACTACAGTATAGGGCACCACTACACTACAGTATAGGGCACTACACTACAGTATAGGGCACCACTACACTACAGTATAGGGCACCACTACACTACAGTATAGGGCACCACTACACTACAGTATAGGGCACTACACTACTCTACAGTATAGGGCACCACTACACTACAGTATAGGGCACCACTACACTACAGTATAGGGCACTACACTACAGTATAGGGCACCACTACACTACAGTATAGGGCACCACTACACTACAGTATAGGGCACTACACTACTCTACAGTATAGGGCACCACTACACTACAGTATAGGGCACCACTACACTACAGTATAGGGCACCACTACACTACAGTATAGGGCACCACTACACTACAGTATAGGGCACCACTACACTACAGTATAGGGCACCACTACACTACAGTATAGGGCACCACTACACTACAGTATAGGGCACCACTACACTACAGTATAGGGCACCACTACACTACAGTATAGGGCACCACTACACTACAGTATAGGGCACTACATTACACTACAGTATAGGGCACCACTACACTACAGTATAGGGCACCACATACACTACAGTATAGGGCACCACTGCACTACAGTATAGGGCACCACTACACTACAGTATAGGGCACCACTACACTACAGTATAGGGCACCACTACACTACAGTATAGGGCACTACACTACAGTATAGGGCACTACATACACTACAGTATAGGGCACCACTACACTACAGTATAGGGCACCACTACACTACAGTATAGGGCACTACTTACACTACAGTATAGGGCACTACACTACACTACAGTATAGGGCACCACTACACTACAGTATAGGGCACCACTACACTACAGTATAGGGCACTACACTACAGTATAGGGCACCACTACAGTATAGGGCACCACTACACTACAGTATAGGGCACCACTACACTACAGTATAGGGCACCACTACACTACAGTATAGGGCACTACACTACAGTATAGGGCACCACTACACTACAGTATAGGGCACCACTACACTACAGTATAGGGCACTACACTACAGTATAGGGCACTACACTACACTACAGTATAGGGCACCACTACACTACAGTATAGGGCACCACTACACTACAGTATAGGGCACTACATTACACTACAGTATAGGGCACCACTACACTACAGTATAGGGCACTACACTACAGTATAGGGTACCACTACACTACAGTATAGGGCACCACTACACTACAGTATAGGGTACCACTACACTACAGTATAGGGCACCACTACACTACAGTATAGGGCACCACTACACTACAGTATAGGGTACCACTACACTACAGTATAGGGCACCACTACACTACAGTATAGGGTACCACTACACTACAGTATAGGGCACCACTACACTACAGTATAGGGCACTACACTACAGTATAGGGCACTACACTACAGTATAGGGCACCACTACACTACAGTATAGGGCACCACTACACTACAGTATAGGGCACTACACTACACTACAGTATAGGGCACTACACTACAGTATAGGGCACTACACTACAGTATAGGGCACTACACTACAGTATAGGGCACTACACTACAGTATAGGGCACTACACTACAGTATAGGGTACCACTACACTACAGTATAGGGCACTACACTACAGTATAGGGCACCACTACACTACAGTATAGGGCACCACTACACTACAGTATAGGGCACCACTACACTACAGTATAGGGCACTACACTACAGTATAGGGTACCACTACACTACAGTATAGGGCACTACACTACACTACAGTATAGGGCACCACTACACTACAGTATAGGGCACTACACTACAGTATAGGGCACACTACAGTATAAGGCACTACACTACAGTATAGGGCACTACACTACTACACTACAGTATAGGGCACTACACTACAGTATAGGGCACTACACTACAGTATAGGGCACCACTACACTACAGTATAGGGCACCACTACACTACAGTATAGGGCACTACACTACAGTATAGGGCACTACACTACAGTATAGGGCACTACACTACAGTATAGGGCACTACACTACAGTATAGGGCACCACTACACTACAGTATAGGGCACTACACTACAGTATAGGGCACTACACTACAGTATAGGGCACTACACTACAGTATAGGGCACTACACTACAGTATAGGGCACTACACTACAGTATAGGGCACTACACTACAGTATAGGGCACTACACTACAGTATAGGGCACTACACTACAGTATAGGGCACCACTACACTACAGTATAGGGCACCACTACACTACAGTATAGGGCACCACTACACTACAGTATAGGGCACTAGACTACAGTATAGGGCACTACACTACAGTATAGGGCACTACACTACAGTATAGGGCACTACACTACAGTATAGGGCACTACACTACAGTATAGGGCACTACACTACAGTATAGGGCACTACACTACAGTATAGGGCACCACACTACAGTATAGGGCACCACTACACTACAGTATAGGGCACCACTACACTACAGTATAGGGCACTACACTACAGTATAGGGCACCACACTACAGTATAGGGCACCACACTACAGTATAGGGCACCACTACACTACAGTATAGGGCACCACTACACTACAGTATAGGGCACCACTACACTACAGTATAGGGCACTACACTACAGTATAGGACACTACACTACAGTATAGGGCACTACACTACAGTATAGGGCACCACTACACTACAGTATAGGGCACTACACTACAGTATAGGGCACTACACTACAGTATAGGGCACTACACTACAGTATAGGGCACTACACTACAGTATAGGGCACCACACTACAGTATAGGGCACCACTACACTACAGTATAGGGCACCACTACACTACAGTATAGGGCACTACACTATAGTATAGGGCACCACACTACAGTATAGGGTACCACTACACTACAGTATAGGGCACTACACTACAGTATAGGGCACTACACTACAGTATAGGGCACTACACTACAGTATAGGGCACTACACTACAGTATAGGGCACTACACTACAGTATAGGGCACTACACTACAGTATAGGGCACCACTACACTACAGTATAGGGCACCACTACACTACAGTATAGGGCACTACACTACAGTATAGGGCACTACACTACAGTATAGGGCACTACACTACAGTATAGGGCACACTACACTACAGTATAGGGCACTACACTACAGTATAGGGCACCACTACACTACAGTATAGGGCACCACTACATTACAGTATAGGGCACTACACTACAGTATAGGGCACTACACTACAGTATAGGGCACTACACTACAGTATAGGGCACTACACTACAGTATAGGGCACTACACTACAGTATAGGGCACTACACTACAGTATAGGGCACTACACTACAGTATAGGGCAATACACTACTATAGGGCACTACACTACAGTATAGGGCACTACACTACAGTATAGGGTACCACTACACTACAGTATAGGGCACTACACTACAGTATAGGGCACCACTACACTACAGTATAGGGCACCACTACACTACAGTATAGGGCACCACTACACTACAGTATAGGCTCCTTCCCTTTCCAGCCCGTTGTTGTCATGCGGCTGCCAGAGTGTGATGCTCCATGGGACAGTCCTCTGTCCTTTTGGAGCCTTATATTCCTGCTGCTGTCTTCACTAATTGTGCTGGATGCCTTTTCCTCTTCCTTATGTTTCATTTTCCTCCCTCTCCCCCTTCTCCTCCTTTCCGATTGTTATTTTCCGCCGACTTTTTGCCATTCTTAATTATTCTTCCAAGTGTCTTCTTCTGTTTTGACGCCGGGAGTTAAATGATGTATCATCATTTTGAAGCACACTCTCTGTGGTACCCAACGTTGTCGAGCAAGGGAAAGCTTTTATTGTCAATCTTTGCCTTCGTTGCTGAGGCCAATCTCCCACCCCAGTTAAATGCCAGCATTGGGGCAATTATTCTCCCGCACCATGTTGCGACTGGTGAGAGAACTGAAAGACTGCCACGAGGATATTAAACATATCCTTGAGGCCCAAAGCCATTCTATCGTCCAGATTGATACATTCACTCGACCCCCCCTCGTAGTCGTCGCTGTTAGCCTCATCGCGTAGTGAAGATCACTTTTGATAGTGGGTCGCTTCTGTCTTCCGTAATTCTTGCTGGTGCCAGATGCTCCGTCCAGGAGTACGTCCCTTCTCCTCGCCTCTGCAACAGGTGCTAGAGATTTGGGGCATGTTCCCATCAAATGCACAAGTGAGATATCTCTATGCCCCTTGTGTAGGGACTCGGGTCATTCTAAGACAGAGTGCTCTTCTTCCCAAGCTCATTGCAACAATTGCGGTGACGCCCACCCTACCTTCTTCCACAC